ATTTTGTTAGTACTTTTGATAAAATGACAGAAAAAAGCACATTCTGAATAAGGAGACAAAAATGTGAAATCAAATCAGCAGGACTGTTCTGGTAAGAGCAATCAGAACTTGTCCATTTCCTCCAGTGCTTCCAATACTTGAGGCATATAAGAAATGAAACCCATTTCAATAAAAATTAACAGAACTGAAGATGAACATGGTACCCTCTGTAAATGGTAGCCATGAGAGGAGTTACTTATCTGAAATGGAATTGTGCATGATAAGCTCATTTTTGGACCTAGAGCAAGTGTAGGCTCAGAACTGTACTGAACATCACTGAAAGTATAAAAACCACTTTGCAGAGAAGATTTTGTCCCAAGAACTGCAAGGACAATTTTTCTTCTGAAATATTTCCACTGAAACCATGCCAGGAAATATGGGTGTTCAATTTAACAGAAAGAAGCCAATGATCACAGCTCCAGATCTGGAATCTGTGGAAAGTAATGCAGCACATCATCAGGACAAGGACTGCAATTTAAATATAGGCACTCAGTTTCAGGTTTGCTGTACTTATTCCCCACAGAAAACAAACTAAGTCTGCATGTTTCAAAATACCATTTCAACACCAGTTTTGAAACATTTCCAACTAGAGAGGAAGAACAGACCAGCACCATTCTACTCATATGAGGCATTTCAGAATGTTTGCACCAAAAATGCCTGTCCTCTGATAAAGACTTGGAGACCTTTTTAGAGGTGACCATGAGATGCAGAGTAGAGCTCTCTTCCCTTTCACGCTGACAATCCCTTGCTGAGTTTGAGTGAAGCATCTTTGTCTGTTCGGTGTGTTCAAAGGGAAATAGCAACCCCGTCTTGCCTGTACTACAACTTGCTGTTTCACACAGAATGACACAATTCATTCTGTGGAAGCCACCAGGTCTTGGGAGACTAGGAAAGATGGCTGAAGAAAATTAAAGGAGTGGTTTATTTGCAATCTCCTTTTAGTGAAAGATACCACATGGAACACATGCCCAACAGCTACCTCAGTCTCCTCTTCCCAGCTACGCCGACCTTGCTCTAGCAGGGAGCATCACACAAGTGAGAGATGGCATTCAGTGGTAGGAAGCTTCCAAGAAGGCATTACCACCAGCTGTATCAAACAGAGGGCTTGCCCACAGCTTCTTCCCAAGGAGAGCACCTACTCTGAACTGCACTGTCTTCTGTTTGAAACTGCTGCCTAAACAGAACAGGATTTCCATCAGCTGATGCTGCTGAACGTTAGTCTATAGGGTGCATGCTTAAAATGTGCTTAAATATGACACTATAGATGACAACTGCTCAACTAATTTGTCCACAGAAGTAAATTCATGTGCTTTACAACAGAAAACAGCCCCACTCCACCAAAGCATTGCTGGAAATTGATGTTATCAGCTGTAGCGTAAGCTCTTATAAACAGGAAACAGCTGCTGTTAGAGCTGCGTGTAGATGTATCAGTGAAGAAGTTTCTTTAGCCACTTTTATTAGGTGGTGTGGAAGACTGGTTTTCACAATATGCCTCTGAATTTACATACTGGATTAAAAAAGGTTTAAAAATAGCCATAGGTTTAGAAGCACAAGAGAAGACGGAGGTCTGTTGTCTCATTTACAGAGCCTTCCATTTAATTCAATCACTGGCAAATTTTATTCTCTGTTTAATTTGATCTAAACCTCTGTAACCACATCATCAGTAGTAAAAATAACATAACTTCCATCCTTTATTTTAATCAGTTCTGAGCTGTTGTGGAGTTCCTATGCAGCTTTAGCAGCCTGGGTATCATGCACAAAGTTTTCCTCAGTTTCACAGAGCCCACGATAAGGAAACTTCCCTTGCAAGCCTCAGACATGCTCAGAAGTGAAGTAGGGCTGCTTTCATCTCGAGTTTTCTACAAACTGCTGGGGACAAACATGCTATGAAGTCGTGCAGGTGGAGCTTAGCTGTCTATAAATAAGAGCACAGTTTGATCTTTGGCTCTGCTGGGGCTGGAGGGCTGCCAAATGTTTCTGGAAACTTGGACGGAACAGAACAAGAACAAATATGATAAAATGAGCTGAGACTGACAATGATTTATGGAGTCAGTGATGATTATTTTGTACTCATAGAGTTTGCATTTTTGAAGTAATGTTTCATTTTTCACTAAACTTTGTTTTTTCTGTTCATAAGCCTCTATCATTTAACATGGACACCTCAAAAAAAAAAAAAAGGAGCTGCAGCAGCCATAGCATTTACAGCATAGTGCAGCTGATGGAAAAAAACAAGGAGAGTGGAAAAAAATCTACACAGGAAAAAATAAAAGAGGTGTTGGCAATGTACAATTTACCCATGAATGCAGGAAAGAATGTATGCTCGTTAAAGCAGAGGTTAAACCCACAGGAATACAAGCTTACAGAACACAGGGCTGAGCACTTGAAGTATTTGTTCCGACAGCCAGCTCCCTAAACAAACCTCCCTTTTATGACAAGATAACTGCAAAACTTCTCAGGGAACTGTTCTAGGCTTTTTACTCCTCCTTCACTCTGCTCCCAGCGTTAGCACGTGATCCTCTTTCACTCCACGACTTCAGGCAGTCTCCTTACCACAAAGGTTCTTTGTTGGATTTCAGAATAATCCTACTTTAATGCGGGTTTATATGGCCTGGCCTACCCCTAATCTAGCTCTTGCAAAAAGGTTTACATAAGGAGAGGACAAGCACACAATTCATTGGAGTAACTCCCTGAAAGACTTTCAGAGAAACCAGACCTTAAAAAAAAAAAAAGTATCTTCAGCCATTGTTCAAATAATGAAAAAAATGCTAAGACATCATGAAAGTTTCACCCATTATTAACCAGGTCTATTTTATAGCACCAATGCCAACTTTATTAGTAGCTTAACAAGATCACAAAATTTTCATTTACTTCTTCAAACATCTTACCAGCTAGCTAGCTTAAAAATTCATTCCCTCAACAGAAGAAAAACAACCACCACAAAACTTTCCTCTTGACACTTTTGCATGAACAATGCTGTCTTGCACCATATCAGATTTTCTTCATTTATTTACCTGGTAAGGATACAGGACAGGCTGAATTTCTGGCTTTGCTTACTCCAATAGGGTACATAAGAGAGAAACAGCTTTTGCAACAGTGAAAGGTAAAAACCCTAAGAGAATCTGAAGTTCTTCTGTGATAAATATTAGTCATAATACTAGTTAGTCATAACTAACTTGGAATTGTCTGATTGTCTATTTTAGTGCACGCTGCAGCCAAATTATTGAGCTAGGAATTGTAACACTTTTCCATTTTCACAAAACCAGACGTGCCCAGTCAGCTTGCTCTAGAGGTACTGTCTTCTTGCATGTTACATTACATACAAATATGTTTTGTTAAGCATAAACAACATCAGCACTAAAAGACTAAATATTTTTAGGATGTAATCCAAGTGAACTTGTTAAGCATTTCTCCTTAAATTTCAGTGAAATTCTTGCATGCTAGCTTAAGCTGCAGGATTTGACGTGGGGTTGTAATGCAGCAGCATTTGATTCCAAATGCTGCCACAAAAGGCATTTTGTTTACATTAAATATTGCATTTATCACATCTGTTTACAAGGTGACAGTTAAGAACCTATAATTTGCTCCCAACTTCACTTTTTATTTCAGTTTACAACCCTACAGAAAATTGCTTAATTAGTACAGTTGCATTATATCACACGCATAAAAATGAAGCCAGCAGGAACCTCACAGCAATGAAGCTGCAGAATGAACCAGAAGCAGCACCTTTGCTTCATTAATTCTCACACAGCTATCAACAACCTCAAATTCTCATGAAGCACCCCAAAATAAGAAAAATGTGGTCCAGGTGAGTGTGAAGTGCTTTCCCAGCAGCACACCTTCTGTCAACTACAGCTTTTATGAAAAATTCTCAGGTCAAAATCACTGTTTTCCACTCACCAGCCTGCAGAGCAGTATCTTTTAGCAGGGTAATAACAACAGTAACATTTCAATCCAAAGCGTTAGACACCCAAACCCTCAAACTCTGTCTGAAGGAAAGGAGGACATGTTTACACGTTCCTTCTCTGCCTGCACTACAACCCCCCACCCAGAAAGCCTCCCTCCCAGCAGATGCTGGAGCAGCGGCCGTACGCAGAACCAGCGCTGTGACTGCTGTGGAAGTTGATGAGACTTGCAGTGCACCAGATGTTAAATTCTGTGAGCCCAAATCCCTCAGTGATTTCTGTGTCTGTGAGGATACAAGACTGAGTGGTGTATTTGCTGCACGCCCCAAATCCATCACGTCCCTGCGTTACTTTGGGAGCTCTGGGTATGATGGATGCTCTGTTTTCAGTACTGTTTTGGAGCCTGGCAATTTCTACATACTTTAAAGTAAATGTGGATGGCGTGGCTAAATCCCAGCTTGCAGATAATCTATTTTTGGTCTGCTCTTTGTCAAAGATTCATCCATCAGGCACTATGTCAGTAAACACTTTCTAATATTCTGTATGAGGGGAAGAAGGGACTTAATCTCAAATTCTGTTTAGGAGATAGATCGATATTCAACCTCCCATTAGCCAGCTTGAGCTGACATTGTAACACTCCTCCAATAACACCAAGAAAAAAACCAGGGACAATACTTTGTACATCTTTTACATCTTATCCTACTCTGGTTAACGAATGTGGCCCAGCCTTCATCATGGAAGGGAAATTTAGAGTGCAGAAGCTTTGCAGCTGTTTCTTTGCCCTATAGCATCCCCTCAAACAGTCCCTTGATCTTCTCCTCTTTTATTCTACTATTACAAAGGTATTTGACCCAACCTAATGAACTTCTGTATATCAAACAAGGCCTCACTAACTCAGAATTGTGCAAAAGTTTACCCTGTGCGGCAAATTATTTGCCCCTCTTCTTTCCCATAAAGAAAACCTCTTTAGGAAAAAAACCAAACAAACAAACAAACAAAGAAAAAGGCAGGAAAAGCAACATCAACTATAAAGCTCAAGGGAATAATTAATTTCCCTACCACTTCATCTTCAGTCCAACACTTCTCAATCAGTTTTGGCACAGGTTTCTTCACCAGGCGCTGCAGGGCTTTTCCAGCATCATAGTTACTTTCATGTAGCTAAAAAATAAAGAAGACAAATAGATCATTCAATGGAATTAGCAGTGATCTGATACTGGAGGAAAACCACTAAAAGGGGCCACATGAGAAGTTCTATGCCTAAATATTTTTACTGTTGATCTATGAAGTGAATTTTAAACAACCTGACGGGCAAATGGAGTTTTATTAGCAAAACAATTATATTTTTTCCTTCCTTCCTAAACTTCTTCCAGATAATGTTTGAGCCATAGAGCACCAAAGAGTTTCTTATTAGCTTTAAAAAATATTTTTACATTAGAAATTCTGAAGAAAACTTTTAAAAGCTCCCAATATATATTTTTCAAAAGGAGTTGTATTTTATGCCTCATATTTTGTTCAGATTCAAGAGCAACTGGAAAAACTAACATAGAAAAAGGATTGCAAGTCATGGGATACCAAGTTTACCATCCAGAAAATTCTCTTTATTTTTATTGCACTGCACAGATGATTAAGCAGTCGGAAAACAAGTATGGAAGAGAAAGAAAACTTCTGCAGATAGCTACAGGAGTACATATGAGCAACTAGGGTTGTCTAAGTTGACATTCCTGTTTCAGCTGGTCACAGCCTACAGTGTACTGTTTTCTACCATAAATTGGGTATCTGTAAGATCAAAAGCTGTCTGAAGTAGACATTTAAATACGGGTGAGGTAAAACTACTACACTGAAAAAAATTCAACAACGAACCCATGAGAATCTCCAGCTCTTAACTCCTGATAGAAAACATTCAGCACACTGCAGATTTACAGCCTGTTGTAGCTTCAAAGTACAGTGGGATTTTAAAAACTGAAGGACTAGTCAGAAGCCTGCTCTATGTCTTCTGAAAATGACCTCAAAGAAAAAGAAATATTGCTGGGATGACAAAAACTGAATTATCTTCCAACACCCAGAAGGAAGAATGATTTGCATGCAAACTTCCCTACAAACAAGAGGTAGTTTTTCAAATAACATGCTAAGCACATCCAAGCTTCAAAGCTATCTACTGTCATCAACAGAATTTTACAGACCCTCAAAAGTTCCTTTACAAAAGGGAAAACCAAAAGATGATTTTATTCATTAAGAAATTAGTATGGTATGTGTTACACTTCAACACAGATTAGCTCAGATCTTCTGCCATCAGCAGGA